AGCAATGTTAACCGCATCATATAACTTCCTTGTACAGCTTTCAGTATCCACTGGATACCGGATAGTATCCAGGTAAATCGTATGGCGGCCGATGTAAGCCTTTTTGTGCTACAGAGGCCATACCTATTAAGACATTGTCAAAAGACGCGTAAAATCTCATGGATTACTATCTGGAGTTGCGGGTTTGGTTCCCTCAAGAGGCAAATGTGTGTGTGTGTGTCATAAATGACGATGGCTTACAGCCTGTTTCCGATTTGAGCACAAAATAAGTCAGTGATTTGGCTTGAGCTAAAGTAGAGAACTAAATTAAACAGTTTTTCATGACGGGCTAGATATGTATAATGCGGTTTTAGAATAACGTGTAGAAATTAAATAGGGGCACAAAAAACGATTGGTCATCTCACACTCACTGACTCATCTTTGTCAGGACGCAGGGTTAAGAATTCGAAGTGATTCATAGAAAAAACCTTTTTTTGTTGCAAAACCAAATCTATATTATACTCGTATTTTGTTTAGCAAAACCTATCTAAATTCAGCTACATAAGCTGCCAGTTTGTCGCTCGAACATTGTAAAAGCCAATTCACCAGCTTCCCACGTGGTGTCATTTGGGCGGGAGACGAGGGCGGGCGGATCGATGGAGCCACGTGGACCATTGACAGAAAGAACATCATTTTGCTCTCAGTCCTTTTATGGACAACGCCATCGTCTTGTGTGTTTAGTACCTAATGGGTGTTACTATATGTCCAAAAAATACTGAATGTTTTTTTCAGTGGATCCTTAATGTATCGGAGTGTATATATGGAAATGCAATAAGTTAAATAAGACTAGGTACCTATAAGATTTTTATCAAAATGAGAAATTAGATAAGTAAATACCTATTACACAATGATAATAAAAAAACTCAATATCCCTGGTGCATTATTAACTTCTTATTTTAATTTCTTTTTATAAAGTCGAATCATTTTAGGCTCTACTAGAGCGCGACCCTCTAAAAGAAGAGGGGTGAATTAACAGTTTTACTTGAGAATAAGTAAAATAAAATTCGAGTTATTTTTGACAAGGTTTGCTGTAATAAGGAAGTTCACATTTTTTAATTTGTTTCCGCAATATCTGATTAATTTGCAATTTTCAGCGCCTGAAACTGTTTGTTAGTTATGAATCATAACTAACAAACAGTAGAGTTAAGAATAAAGTTCGATTTAAAGATTGTTGCACTATCTTATGAACGTATCCAAAAAGCAATTTTGGAAAAATGCAATTACACGGTCATAATGCTGCATTCCAGCATTCCAACCTTCGGGGTCAGAGAGGGTCACAGGATGGCATTTGAGCGACCCCTGCCGATCAATGCCACGTGGCTGAAATACCTTATCTGATGAAAGCAAACATCTTACTGCAAGTTGAGGGAGATCTTTATACGAGGGTTTTCTGGAATAAATTGCTCCCTAGATATAAGACTACATACCTACATTGTATCTTATCAACTTTTATAGTAGGTTATTGAATAGTGTCAAATATTTTATTCAAACAGATTATAAGAATTTAGCAGTTGTCTAAAATCTTAAAACCCTAACCAATTTTAGTATTTTTACCAATTAAATAAGTACGATAATTTACTACATTAAATTTATTTAATTGGGTACCAACTTTAACTTTGTAACTTCCGTTCTACAAAAACGTGATCATTTGTAAACTATTTGATTAATGCTTCCCAGCTAATTCTAGATAATAAATGCAGACTACCTAACTTTATACTTACTTAACCTTTATTAGGTACCTACTTAGCTACGGAAGTTAGAATTTTGTTAGACAAATTGGTACACTGCTGAAGGTGGCTGAAGCGTGGGCGGCTGACGCAACCTCTGCAAGGTATTGGAGGAAGTTCTTCTATTGTCTGAATTGTTCGCGCCAATATCTTGGCAATTTTTTAATAGAAATGTCTTAATTTATTTGGGTTGTTAGTAAACGCAGTATCAACCAACACGGTTAAAAGTAGATTAAGATAATTTAAACTCATACATCGCAAAACATGTACCTATGGCCATACTGTGAATTAGTGCCGAAAATAAAAAAAAACACTAGTCTACATCGTATATGAATATTTTTTGTGGACTTAGGGAGAGTCCATTATACGAGTAAATGTAGAGGGACCTACGAGTACCTACTGATTAGAAACTTTTACACATCCAAAAATATTTTTTTCCCTGCCAATGAGTATGAGAGAACAGTAAAGCCTTGACTGTGACAATCGCATAAAGTAGCGCATTATATATTAGCGAATTTCGCAACCAGCTGATTTATTAGATCGCCGATTAACTAGTTATCGAAGCCATTTTGCAGGTCACTATCACAAGGTCGTCCCAATAAAATTTGAATAGTTACACCACTTTACACGATATAAAAATTGGACAATGATAAATTGGTTTTTTGACATTGAAAATACGGCCCGTATTAGGTATGAACTGACACTCCAACTCGGTTCAAACCAGTTCAAACTCTAGCAATGATTCGCCTGAATTTCTTAGATCAATCACAGCCTAGCCTTCAATCTATTCATACCAAAGATACATTGTGATGATGAAATATTGAAACTTTCATAATACTTTTTTGCCATCGTTAGGTACTTTAAGCTGCGAATCGAACTCAAGACCTCCGAGATCGAATAAGAGAGTCTACATTTTAACTACTGGACCATAGAGTATACTTTGTTAGATTCTTCCAATGTGAGACGACATTATCCCAATTCTCGTGAAATGAGTCCACTCCAACTACTAGAACTCAGATATTTACATTAGTAGAGTTCTTACTTCTTACTTCTACAGTTTTTTTTATCTACAACGAGGAAGCTCTTGGCTTGTATCTCACCTGTTGGTAAGTGACGATCAGGCCGAAGGTGGAAGCGAGCTTCACCCGGAATCCTCAACCACTGAGGAACTGGCTATCTTACCTCTAACTACCGGAACACTACATTTCTGTTAACGTTGTTGCTATGGTCAGACTTAGGTAAGATGATGGTAGCTAGCCAGGCGGACTTAGAACAAGCCACCACCAACCAAATCGAACAGAAAAATCTGCCCCCACTGGGAATGACCACAGAGGCGGTTCTTCTCGACACCTTCGTTCCACCAAACGAGCTCTCTTTACTTAATTGGATTCGGGGACTTTTGCCAGATTCTTGAAATAATATAATGAGAAACCTTAGCACATAGTGCGCAGAACTGACGGCCGATGGGGCAGCAAGGTTCTAGAATGGAGGCTGCGTACCGGAAGGCGCAGCGTGGGACGTCCACCTACAAGGTGGACCGACGACATCGTAAAGGTAGCAGGGAAGCGCTGGACGCAGGCCGCTACCAATCGATCAACGTGGAAAGCATTAGGGGAGGCCTATGTTCAGCAGTGGACGTCCTATGGCTGACATGATGATGATGATGATAATGAGAAACGAGTTAATACGCTTATGGCTTTACAAAAAAATGCTTTCTACAATCTTTCCCACGTATATCGCTATTGTATATTTAGAAGAAGGACATTGATTATTTACATGATGATGATATTGATTTTATACAGATTTGAATACATATTCATATCTGGCGTCTACGAAAGCCGATTGCTGGTTATGTAAATATTCGTAACACTGATATCAAGGTTCACAGAGTTATCAAAATGTTTGTTATTAAATCATAGTTAATAATCTATAATGGCTTCCCTTCTATTATTTTGCGGTAAATAATATCCATCCGAAATCTAACCCCGGGTTGCACCATCTACCTTGTAACTATATTATTACGTCAAGTCTGTAAACTCCATACGAAAACACCGATTATAGTTATAGTTATGATGGGATCCAGATAAAAAAAATTCGCCAAGTGCGTGTCGTGCCACGCGCAGTGTACGGTTCCGTAGCTGTCCGTCGTTAACACCATTTACTTATATTTCAGAAGCAAGCAATTACTTCATCTAAAGTCAATTTTCATCATCCTCTCAATCTTAATTTTCATCATTTTACATCATGATCTTTATGGAAAATGACTGACATGATGGAAGACGGGAATTTTGACAGACTAGAAGGAAAGAAGCACAGCATGGTCTTGTCAATGAGCAAGTGAAATTAATTAGGGTTCATGATATTAAAATTAAAGGGAGAGTAAGTTTTCTCTACGCGACGCGACGAAAAGATAGAGTAAGTTTTCTCTACACGACGCGACGCGACGAAAAGGCAGCTCGAATCATATTCCAAGTCAATTTTGAACTAATATGAACAGCTATTATTCAGTTAATGGACTGGCTGGGAACAGAACCCACGTCCCCCGGATGCCTAAATTGCTCTAAGCACTAGACTACCGGCGTTATGAATGGACCTATTTATCTATTTTTGGTAACGCTCCCAAAGCAATTTAGAGTCTTTTGGTTAGGTATTATGTATTTAAATACCTATTTTATGCTATGTATTTGGAGTTGTGTCTCTCCCTAAAGGTCAAACTCATTACTTTATGATAAGCTTTAGAAAGCTCATCATCTGAAGCATTTGTATCATCATTCATAATCATCAGTATCCAGAGAAGACCAGTGTCATGGTGTCCCATAATACACCTCGGCATGATGCTGAGTGGATACCGTTTCGGTGACACGCACATTACCCACTCTATTTAGTTTTAGTTTTGTTTTCATTTTTTATGTTGTTTTGTGTCGCTGAATAAAATATTTAATTTTCATTTCATAAAATGTAAGCTTAATAAATTTACGATAGTTGATCTAAGTACGTCTCTACGATCTTAATTACAGTACCTTAGATCTATTGCGGATAATTTTAAGAGGCTATTCAGTGATGCACCTAATAAATGTCTATTAGATTCCTCTTGGTCCTAAGTAACAGTCAGTAAAAGCTTTTTCTACAGAGAAAAGCTTCGCAAATGTCAAAGCTAGGTTAAAAGCTCCCAAACACCCACGCAAAAATTTACATTCAACATTTTTCATGAAAAAGAAAGCAAACCATACTTACATTTTGTATTTTTAATTGATTCCCAGACCACAATACTAAAATTTAAAAAAATACACTGCACAGATATTTTTCCCGCGTTTTTCACGAGGAGCGACTAAGCCCGCCAACTCGGGCCGCGAGACTGCCGTGCGCCAATAGAGAGCAGGATGGCAGATCAACTCTCATAGGAGTAACAGAGATGATGCGTGCTGGTATTGAGCGTCAAGATTAGGGCATGAATATCGGAATCTCGGAATCTCGTAATATCGGAATCTCGGACTGCGAGATCCGATATTTCAATTCCGATATTGAGCGACCCAATATCGTAATATCGGAATCAGATAAAAGTTTTAATTGAGATTTTAAACAAAGCGTTTAAACTCGCCACAACCTGCCACAAAGCCCAAAGTACATGATTGGCAAAGACCAATGATTTTCTCATGTATCTCACCATCACTTTTTGTTCCACTGCAAATATTTTAATATATTACTATGGTTAATTTAACTTGTTCTAAATCAATTTTAGCATTTGCCATACGTACTTTGTTAACAAAGAACAACATCTCAACTCCCTCTCAAACATAAATTTTACTGGACATGGACCGTCAGTTCTGCGTACTATGTGCCCTGCCCATTGCCACTTCAGCTTGCTAATCCGTCGGGCTATGTCAGCGACCTTAGTTAGGTTACGGAGCTCCTCATTTCTGATTAGATCTCGTAAAGAAACACCAAGCTTATCTCTCTCCATAGCACGTTGTGCCCTATATTCAAAGGCCACGTTTTCGAGCCGTATATCATCACTGGTAACACACACTAATTGAAGACTTTCGTCTTCGTATTCGACGATTTACTTCTTTCTTGAAATTGCATCTAACTACCTAGCTGATCGTTTGTCCGAGATAGACATACTTACTTGTCAACAATCTCGAGAATCGAGCTCCTAACCGAAACTGGGTAAGGACCAACATGGACATTCGACATAAGCTTCGTTTTTTCCATATTCATCCGAAGGCCTACCTGTTGGGAAACTCGATTAAGATCTTCGAGCATTGTGATAAGGTCTTTCAACGGTTCTGCCTTAGTACGCAAAACAGATGGACGATGAGGCAGCAAGGTTCTGAAGTGGAGGCCACGTACCGGAATGCGCAGCGTAGAACTCATAACCACAAAGTAGACCGACGACCTCATAAAGGTAACAGGAAGGCGCTGGATGCAGGCCGCCACCAACCGGCCATTGTGAAAATCAGCATCGGAGCCTGTGTTCAGCAGTGGACGTCCTATGGCTGACATGATGATGATGATGATGGCTCGTGGTGTTTATGAGTTGTACATCGATAATCAAAAAGGAACAAATTACAAGCATATTCAAGTTTTTTACCACTCTCTACAATTTTTGTAACACGTGATTTGAATGACTCTAAAATTCATTCCGCCAGCATAAAACAGGGTAATATAATGAAGGAGTAAAAAAGTTTGTTTGATACCTGCGATTTTACAAAAACACTTCAATTATTTGCTAGTCCATATAGGCTCATTATCAGTAACCATTCATTATCAGGTGATCCGTCTGCTCGTTTGCCTCTTGTCAGATAAAAACCAAATTCAATGGATACCCATACATAACGTAAAATGGTTTTGAAATACTTCAATTTTATAAATGATGTTTTGTACCAAATTAAAAATTTTGAATAAAATCATTATTTTATTGTAAATAATCCAGAATTCTTACGAATATAACCAAATATTAATTTTATAGCACATGAACTCAATTCCGATATTAATATCGGAATTCCGATATTGAGATCTAATATCGGAATCCAATATCGGAATTGAAAACCTTCCGATATTACATGCCCTAGTCAAGATGGGATAGGGGTGGAAAATGGTGGTCCCCTTTTTGCGGAACAGGATTTAAGTTTTTTTTTAATTTGCCATGGCAAGAAAACAGGTTGGGGCAAGTTTATTATTATTATTCGCTCCGAATTTCAAACAGTTCTTTTATTATTAAACATTCAAGCGTATTTACGATTTCGGTGCTTATCACAGAGTTCAAGCGAACAGATTTTGATGCGAGCGATATCGTACACACAGCTTTGCACAAAGCGCAATCATTTCAATGCGCTGCATTTGATGATAACAGTGCGGCGGCATTTTATCAGACAAAAATTGATCTGAAAAAACTCGTCTAAAAAATCAGGCAGCAGCGCTCGCTGCACTGCAATATAAAAAAAAACGCGCGCGAAAACTTTTGAAAGTAGGTACGGGACTATTCCCACCACCTCTCGTTCCCACCGCGCTGCATCTCCTGTGTAGCCAGCTTGACCGCTAATAAAAACCCAACCAGTGAAGGTCAAGTTTGTCCCGGGGCCCGAGGGAAAGTTAACTGTTTCGACGAAATTAATCAGAAGAACATAGGAGGAGTTCGAAGTTAAGGTTCGACTTCCCTCCATTGCAAACTCGAAAGTAGGTAGGTTGTAATATTATGAACATCTGTTGGTTAGTAGACTCAGTACTGTGTGTACTTTCTCCTCCTTATTTTATTCCATTAATTCCTTTTGGGATAATCGCTTCTTATATCTCTTGAAATTCATAGAGCTTTCCCAAAACCCGCATTTTAATTTATTTTATTTTAGTAGGTATGTGGAGTGTTCCCAGTTAAATGGGACAAGGGGAATAATCTTTAACAACCATTATCCTAAAACATACCCTGCAAAAACTTTAATTCTCTTTTATTTTTCTTTACTTTTCATCAGTGGCGTAGCGTGGCTTTTCGCCGCCCGGGGCCGTCCGGAAATCCGCCGCCCTTTATTTTAATTATAAATATTTTAAAGTTTAAATATTATATTGAATGGACTTCAGGTACACTATTCACCTTATTTGTTGAAAGTCAAAATAAACTACCACGAACTGCTTCAGAAGGAAAATACATTAAAGAGAAGCAATTGCTGGAAACCCACAGGAAGTTTGACTTTCTTAAATAGCTCAGCTTTATTATGTAACACTAGGTGTATAACAATAAACAATAATAACAAGTATTTAAGTATTTATTTGTCAATCGAGAGTAAATATTATCTTAAATTATATACAATGTGAGTCACGTTAAAGTGTACATATGAAAATATATGAAACTAGACCTATTTTATCGATAAAAAAGAGGTCAAAAAAATTTTGAGATTATTTTTTTATAGAATTTTTTTTCTTCCAATTACTTATTGTAAAGAAAACGTAATAACTTTTAAACTAAGCAGTATATCCTGATAAAATAAAAACAGTAATAATGCTAAATAACAGGCGATACTAAAAAAAATAGATGAAATAGCCAGAAAATGCCAACAAATAATAAAAAATTATACTTTTTGAAAAGAATCTGCTTAAAAATTCGTATTTTTTTGTTTATTTGATAAATTTCTCCAAAAAATGCCCCTATAACAGGTGTTTTTTATTACTTTTTATTATTCTCTATTATATTACTTTTGTAAAACCAAAAATCGCATGTCTCTATCCCTATCACAACGTTTGCAATGATCGTTTGAATTAAGCCTCTCCGGGCGCGCCATTCAACGCTTCGTTAACAACGAAACTGAAAGTGACTAGATTTGTAATTTTGATAAAGACAAGTTAGATTTCAAATAAAAACAAAAGATTTCGAAGTAAAATAAGCATTTTAGTTAAAATTAAAATTGTCTCTACCTGTAGCGGAGAAAAATGTGGTGGCAGGCCTTTATTCAAACGATCATAGCAAATGTTGTGATAGGGATAGAGACATGCGATTTTAGGTTTTACAAAGGTGATACGATAGAGAATAATATAAAGTAATAAAAACCATCTGTTATAGGGGCATTTTTTGGAGAAATTTATCAAATAACCAAAAAAATACGAATTTTTAAGCAGATTTTTTTCAAAAAGTATCATTTTTTATTATTTGTTGGCATTTTTTGTGCATTTTATGTATTTTTTTAGTATTGTCTGTTATTTAGCATTATTACTGTTTTTATTTTATCAGGATATACTGCTTAGTTTAAAAGTTATTACGTTTTCTTTACAATAAGTAATTGGAAGAAAAAAAATTCTATAAAAAAAAAAATTGACCTCTTTTTTATCGATAAAAGTAGGTCAAGTTTCATCTATTTTCATATGTACACTTTAACGTGACTCACACTCATATCTGTGCTCACACTGTATAGTGCTCATTGAACTAAGAAGGAATAACATAATTATGTGCTTAATATTATTAAGGGTTGTACCCTAGCTAACCAGCGCCACCATATTTTTTCTTGATTACTTTTGTTATAGACCGAAATTAAAAAAGTGGTTTGAAAAATGTATAATATGTATCGAAGCTATTTTTTAAAATAATTTGTTTGAATTCATTAGATATTTGCAGCAAGTTACAGATTTAATTACTGCTAAAAGTTACCATTTTAGCTAATTTTGAATTTCGAACTTGCAGAATATAATAAATACACGGTTTTAAAAGTAGCTTAGATATGGCTTTTTAACTACACTCGCGAGCAAAAGTATGGAATCACTTACATGAAGTTGTTTCCACGCGATCTTGTGTAGGTACTAACGAATTTGTTAGTAACCTAAAAAGTGGCACCATTGTAAAGATTAGACTTTTACCTTTAAATTGATACCAAATTCATTTAAATCACACCAGTATTTAAAAAGATATCGCGGCTGATGTGAAGAAGTAAGGAATATATCCGTTGTCTAGTACCCATAGTACAAGCTTTGCTTAGTTTGGGACTAGCGGCGCAGTGTAAAAATGTCCAAGGATATTTATAAAAAAAAAAAAAAACAAAAAAACACATGTATCAACTGTTTGATAACGTCACGAGTTGCGGCCCATTTACCCCCTATAAAAGCACGTGTTTTCGAATTTTTGCTTTCACACATTGATCCATACACATCTCAGCTTCTTTTGACACTTTACCTGGGATTCTACACCTTCAGAAGCAGCACAAATCCTTGCACTATTGCAAGAAGGGCTCAGCCAGCGGGCTGTCGCATGTCAGCTCCACATAAGCCAGTCCTGGGTTTCGAAAGTTTTAAGACGCTTTCGGGAGACTAGTGGCTTTATCCCGAGACCAAGTTCTGCCACAGTGCCAGTGCACATCGCAGAAGGATGACCGTTTTTTCATGTCAACCTCTCTATGAAATCGTCATTTGACTGGTATCGACGTCCAGCAAGAGCTCAGAAATGTTCGTAGGATAGCTGTTAGCATGTGGACAGTTCGTCTAAGATATAAGCAATAGAATTTGACTCCAAAAAGGCCTGCCATAGGCTCGAAACTGACGGCAGGTCACCGATAAGCACGCTTTTAATTTGCTCGTACACATCTCGATGGGAAGTCGAGCAAGCCACCCCCATAAGCCACTGTTTCAGCAAACCAGCACTGCACAAATCGCTCCTCAGGCTGCCTATAGATCCGACCTCTTCAACTGCTGCACTGCAAACACAGTCTGCATTCATCGGAGAACAAAACTAGCCTCCATTACTCGCCTTCCCATCAAAATAAATGCGAGTTAATTGAAAGCGAGCTTGTCGGTGACCTGCCGTCAGTTTCGAGCCTGTGGCAGGCCTTTTTGGAGTCAAATTCTATTGCTTATATCTTAGACGATCTGTCTACACGCTAACAGCTATCCTACGAACATTTCTGAGCTCTTGCTGGACGTCGATACCACTCAAATGATAATTTCATAGAGAGGTTGACATGAAAAAACGGTCATCCCTCTGCGTTATGCACCGGCGCTGTTCAGAACTTGGTCTCGAGATAAAGCCACCAGTCTCCCGAAAGCGTCTTAAAACTTTCGAAACCCAGGACTAGCTTATGTGGAGCTGACGTGCGACAGCCCGCTGGCTGAGCCCTTCTTGCAATAGTGCAACGATTTGTGCTGCTTCTGTAGGTGTAGAATCCCAGGTAAAGTGTCAAAAAAGCGGAGATGTGTATGGATCAACGTGTGAAAGCAAAAATTCGAAAACACGTGTTTTTATAGGGGGTAAGTAGGCCGCAACTCGCGACGAATCAAACAGTTGATACATATTGTCTTTTTCCTTACTTCTTTACATCAGCCGGGATATCTTTTTAAATACCGGGGTAATTTAAATGAATTTGGTATCAATTTAAAGGTAAAAGTTTAATCTTTAAAATGGTTCCACTTTTTTTGTTACTAACAAATTCGTTAGTACACAAGATCGCGTGGAAACAACTTCATGTAACTTTCATGTAAGTGATTCCATAGTTTTGCTCGCGAGTGTATTTACAAACCACTTTTTTATTTCGGTTTGTAACAAGAGAAATCACGAAAGATTTATCTGTGGCGCAAGTTTTAGAGGGGTAAGTAAGCTCCTTAAATATTTTTGTTACTATTAAGGCTTAAAAAATAGATTAAAAATGTACTCTTCATGCTTTATTCAAAGCAAAATCTTTTACACAATCGTCGATATCAAATTGTATCTCATTTTCAATTGCCAGTATAGCTAGATTTGTTAGTCTCAACGTAGACATAGTCGACCTTTTTTTTTCTTGTTCATGCAATGTTTTTTTTCTTATCCGCCGCCCCCTTTCATATGCCGCCCGGGGCCATGGCAACCCCCAAGCTACGCCACTGCTTTTCATAAACTGTATAGTAGTGGTTTCCCAAATCAATAAAAAAATCTCTTGGTATCAACTGACTGTCATTGTCACAATCTGTCAAATTTGTAGGTTATCTTATTGTTTTTAAAGTAATTTGGACTATTTACTCAATAATATGGGTGATACTGGAAGGATTTTGGTGCTATACGGAAGCCAAACATTCACCGCTCAGGAAGTAGCTGAAAGAATATGGCGGAGTACAAAAGTTTTAGGTTTTCGAGGTCCTGTAAAGGCAATGGATGATTATCCTATTTCCAAGTTGATTCATGAGGAGTTTGCGATATTTGTGTGTGCTACGACTGGTCAGGGGGATCAGCCGGACAATATGAAGAAGTTCTGGAAATTTCTGCTCAGAAGAAACTTGCCTTCAAACTCTTTGGTGAAGTTAAAGTTTGGGGTCCTAGGGTTAGGGGATTCTTCGTATGCGAAGTTCAATTTTGTTGGGAAACTGCTGCACAAGCGTCTCTTGCAACTTGGAGCTACGCCGCTACTAGATATTGGTAAGAATGTATTTATACACCTCATAAACTTAGCTAAGTTTATTAGTGTCAGCAGGTCTTAACTCACATTTGTCATTAATTTCAAATTTCAGGCCTCTGTGATTACCAACATGACTTGGGCCACGATGGGGTAATTATACCATGGATAAAGAACTACTTTTCTCATCTTCAAACATACTTTCCAAACATCAAAACAGTCAGTTTAACCACAAACTTTACACCACGATGGAAAGTCTCATTATTGAAAAATGCTAAAAGTGAGTCCATAGACGATTTAAATAATGATATTTACTTCTCCAAAGGCTGTAAAGATGAGTTCCTTGACAGCAGACTGTTAGAAATAGAAAAAAATGAGAGGACCACTCATACATCTCATTTCCAGGTAAGTTTCATGGAAGTTCTACCTTCTAATAGCCCATATTATGTGGGTATGATGGGACCCAATTTGAAGAAGGCTCTGAAAAAAGGTTTTTTATTATAAAATCATACTTTTTACAGGATGTAAGGTTAGTGACCCTAAAAATAACTGATAGCACAAAACTAGAGTACAAGCCAGGAGATGTGTTCAACATCAGACCAAGAAATAGCAAGGAAGACATAGATGACATATTTGGGATATTTGAAACTCACAGTATTGATATAAAGCCTCACTATAGATTAATGGTAGAAGAATTTCATGACGGTAAGTTGCAAAGCTTAAAATAGCATCCTACAAATAACTGCAGAAACTTTTGAATTAAAAATTGAGCAAAACTCAATAAAAAATCCTTTTTTTATAATCTCAGAAAAATGCGTGCAACGGAACGCAAATGTCAAAACGCACGTGTGTCATTGGTTGTCAATGTCACTTTGACGTTTATTATTATCATGTGGATTGCGGCGTGTTTATCGTGTTTTTAGCGTGTGAATTAAGTTTTTTTAACTAAAGTAGACAAAACTAAATACAAACCAAAATGCTTCGGCGGCAGGCGCGTTTGCGCCGTGAGTATTTATACAGAAAATCCGTGGAAGACAAGCAAAAGAGTATACAAGCGAAAAAGGACCAAATCAAAAAGAGTTTGGAAGAGAACATCCCAATCCATGGTGATTTGAGGAAGGAGGCACTTGCTCTGCAGAAAAGAATCGATTATGAAGACAAAGGTAAGTATCTACATACTTTATACACACTACAGTTGCTAAAAACTTGGAGTTAGACTCACCTTGATTATCCGAAAAAAAAATCCTTTGGACGGCACACTAAGCTGTTAGTCATGATAGAAGCAGCAAGCCAATCGCGGCTCTACTGTTTACAATCCATCCATATGAAGATAAGCTATCTTTTTTATGTATAATCAATGTTTTTAACCTCTGGCATCTATTAACCTACAAGTTGGAGTTGGAACTCTAATATAACCTTATTTTATTTAAAAAAATACCAGGCGATGAATGATTCTGTTGTGACTACTCACTAATTCATCCTAGTGTTAGTATATTTATTAAATCTTCCCAAAAATATTTTTGAAATTAGACAGAAATGGTATTTTTTCTTTTTTTTTGGACTATCCCGCGGATTTGTATTTTTTCTTCTATGTATTTTTTCTTCTATGTTAAGTCAGCTATTGTCACTTCCATTGAAATTTTTAGCTAATGTAATTTTTTTTCACTGGAAACTGATTCCATTCTGATTTATTCTATTTCTTTATCAATATTCTTCTAGGTCCAGAAAGAGCAGCAGTGATCGGTGGATTTAGCGGTGGAGCGAACACTCTCAACTCACAGGACGACGAGTACAGGTTTGCCGGTGTGGAGGACCCTAAGATAATGATCACAACGTCCAGAGAACCCAGCGCCAGACTGAAGATGTTCGTCAAAGAATTGAGGTATGTTTAATAATGTGTATTTAAAAATAGTAACAATATTTAGTTTACATCTTCTTAATTAAGTCTCCCCAACCCTTCTTTCCAGCATGAGAGAGGTAGGGCAGGGGTGGCCAACTTCATTAGACATAAAATCTACTGTTTACTAACGAAACCCTGGGCGATCTATCACTTACATACTTCTTGAAATCTTAAATTAAACAGCATAGTTTAGTACACAATCATGTAGTATTTTTTGCCTTGCCACGATCGACTGGACTAATATTCGCGATCGACTGGTTGGCCACCCCTGGTGTAGGGCAAATCCTCTATTTTGCTTTTTAAAAATATTTTTTTGCAGAACAAGGCAGGTATTTGACTGCAATTGCACCAGATATTAAGTGAGATGCAGTCTAGGGTGGTTTATACCTGCCCAGAAAATGCCTATTCACTCTGGCCTCTTGTCAATAAAAGAGAGTTGTGCTTCTGCAGTAGAAATTAAATGAAGATGATGATGAACTACTTGGGCTGTTTCTTTCTAGATGGTGTAAAAAAACAAAATAATATAAGTAACAACAGAATAACAATAATATCTATCCCATTACAGGTTAATATTCCCAAACAGTCAACGGATGAACCGTGGTGGTTACGAGATGTCTCAGCTCATCCACGCATGCAGGGCCAATGAGGTCACGGACTTCATTGTGGTCCATGAGCATAGGGGTGTGCCTGACAGCCTGGTAAGGAATTTTATATCATTGGCAACTGTATTTAAATCTAAATTTTAGATTAAGCTTAATTAATATTATGTATAATGTTGCAATGCCCTCACAGGGCTCATGTTCTGGGACTGTTTTATTTTTAATACCTTGTAAGTCCAATTAATTGAGAAGCAAAATCACAACTATTTCTCTTGTGGAATAGAGTAAATTACAAGATACATCTGCAGATTCAATTAATTCCCATGTGCTATGTTTCTAATTATTGCATTTTTACTTGAATATTATTCAACGTTTTCTTCTTTGAATTTGATTATGACAATGAACTTTGTTTTTTCGCCATTATGAGACACTGTTCCGCCAACGCCACGTGCGCAGCTTTTACGCTGTGTTGGAAAAAATAAAACTGAAAATGAAAATATTTATTGCCAGAATCAAACAATACAATAACTAAAAAATGCTTTCACATTAGAAGCGCGGCAGCGGCGTTTTTATAATGTGAAGGCATGCATCCGCTGTCACACATGAAATTTTCGGCAACGCGACAGTCGCGCGTTTGTCGCGCTGCTAAAGCGCCTAAATGTGATAGTGCTCTAAGCCACTCCTGGCTGCGGCAGCCAGTCGAACATATGACGGTATATGGGTTAAAAGTGTTCTGATAATGGATTGGCTACCACAGCCGGGCTGCCTAGTCCGCGGGGTCATACTGTCATATATGTTGCTTAAAATCAAAATCAAATTCTCTGTAACATTGAAAAAATAAAAATGTTTTATACATTATACTAACTGACTGCTAGTAAGTCTAAAGTTATCCAATTGATTTAATTACACCAGTGAATTTTTTGTATGTGTTGTATACCTTTCGGAAAAAAAGTTTTTATTTATTATTTATTTATACATAGTCTTAAAGTTAAATACTTGTTGTTGTTGGTTTCAGGTAATCTGCCACCTACCGTACGGTCCGACTGCTTCGTTCACTCTCTCGGGAGTGGTGATGCGACACGACATTCCAGATATTGGGCCCATGAGTGAACAGTACCCACACCTCATATTCCACAACTTTAAATCTGAACTGGGTGAGCTGCTGTAATACATTGTATGATAATAATATGAAAGTGAATTTATCTATCTGGGCCCCGATTGCGCTAAATATTTTCAACTACAACGCAACTAGACGATGAACGAAAATCACAAATTCGTATCGCGGTGTCGCTTTGACAGCTAGTTCAAAACGCAACTACCTACTTCTTGGTGTAAAAGCTAAAAGAAAGCTACTTTTTCTCAAACGCAAGTGAAACGCCTTCACGAACACGCTGTTTTAGTAAAAAAATAAGGTTTTAGGACTTTTAATGGAAAGTGATTAAATCCGTTGTTTTCTTTGTTTACGCGTGAATTTTACCGCGATACCGAATATGCACTTCAGCTGGAATGAAGAACGGAGCGCAACTGGAGAAGAAGCGCCAATGAATTGGAGACGTTAAAAATTAGCGCAATCGGGGCACTGGTAAACTTCGCGTGAAGTACTCAGGTACTTCATGCAGATGCGTTTAGCGCAAGACCGAACGTTGTGGAAATTCGTGGGGGAGGCCTTTCTCCAGTATTAGCCTTAGGCTGAAATTATGAAACCCAACAACTTTATTTAGTGGCTTTCAGTGGACCCACGGCCTAATGAACGAAGAACCAGTTGATGTGGAAATCCTCATTGGAGGCCTTTGCCCAGTATTGGATGTCTTTCTTTTTCATTAGGCTACTTAAAAACAACAAAAGTCAAAGGAGATTTAAGTTTTTCGTCGAATATTTGGCCATCTTGCCGTATCGTGAGTTTTTTTTTTTCGTTTACAGGTCTGCGGACAATGAGCATACTGAAATACCTGTTCCCTGTTCCAAAGGAGGATTCGAAGAGAGTCATCACATTTGCAAACCACGATGACTATGTCTGCTTCAGGCAACACACATACAGAAAGGTTTGTCTATGAGCTTGTTTAGTTATTTAATTTTTAACGTTAAGAGTCGCATCTCAAACTATTTTTCAAATATGAGCTTGTTTGTTTTTAATCACAACAGAAACCTGAGTATGCCGAAACTAGAGGAGCAGTGCATGAGAATTTTTATAACATCTTACTATTTGAAAGTGTGACGTCACAAATCTCCAGTTATTGTCATACTTATCGTGCCCATTATAGGTCCAGATGACGCGTTTTTACTTTTTACTCATGCGTTTCAAATCGCACGATCGTGTGATAAAGCCTTTACTAAAGTCCGATTTTTAATTCGACGGAATTCTGACAGCTGTCATTTTTTGACAATTCAGATGTAATAAGCCTTTTTTGCTTTGAATTATTAATAAATAATATGAAATGAAATTTCATCAAGTACAACTTACAAGAATGAACTATTGTTTGTTTTGTCAATTCAATGTACACTAATTATTATGTACATTTTAGAGATTAAATAGAAAAAAACGTGTTTTGACACAGTAAAACAACATATTATCATAAACGAAAATATGTATTGATCATCAATAATCATTATCGTCGTCATAATCAACTTGGATTATAAAATTGGCATCTTGTTAAATTGGTTATTTTTTATAGCTAAGATTTTATTAACAAAAGGATTTTCATAAAAAAGGTTTGTAACCCATGGATTATTGGCCAGGGAGTTCAGTAATCTAAAAATAATTTCCCTATTTTTTTTGTAACTTCAAAAATACGATACTAAAAATTCAAATAACCATTTTGAAATTATCAGTACATTTTTAAGCCTTAGTATTTCAAGCGAAACCTTTAATTCAAGAAAGGATTATTTTTTAATTTGTGAAAATGCTCTCCATTCATAATGGGAATGTTTCAATGTTGACAACACTTCTGAAATGTCAAAATTCCGTCGAATTAAAAATCAGAGTTTAGGTTCATACATTCTATCCACAGCAGTCGCGCGGATCCGCGCTTGAAGACCCAAAGATTAAAATAAATATCCCTTAATAAGCGTTAATTACTGAAAACTTAATACTAAAAAAAAACCCTTCACTTTCTTTCGTCCACAGGCAGGCAAAGAAATCGAGCTAACCGAGATAGGTCCCCGCTTCCAAATGAAGCTATACGAGATAAAGCTGGGCACTCTGGAGGCGCTGCCGGCCGCCGACACGGAATGGGCGCTCCGCCCCTACATGAATACAGCGGCTAAACGACGCTTCCTTAGTGACGAAGATGGATGGCAGCAGGACGAGGACTTATAGAAATAAAGATTTATTATTAATTTGTTGTTTTATTTTTCACTTTAGATTGATCCTCTTTCAAGATTAGTGAAGTTATCCCCTTACTAATAAAACTTACACGCTAGTTGAACAGTGTTTTAAAGTGACGTTTAGTATGGAAATGTCATTTTAAAACAGTGTTCAACAACTGTGTAACTTTTTTATTAGTAAGGGGATTAGTCTTCATTTGCTCATGAGCTTTATAGGAGACTCGTAGGAATAGCATAGATTATAATATGATTATTTTAGACTAAGTTGAAGCGTTTGATACTCTTTTACCTGCATACATATTTTTTCCACATTTAAATGCGTCAGTAAAAAATCGATTTTAAATTAATATACAGGGTGTTAGGTAAATGGGTATATGAGCCGACACTAGCCCATGTTAACATGGGCATATAAATGGTATGGTGAAGTCAGAAATTTGATATCATCATTTTATTTTATTTTATTTTCATACAAATATATTTTATAAAATCCCATTTGTATGAATATTCATTTTATTTTTTTTTATTTTCATACAAATATATTTTATAAAATCCCATTTGTATGAATATTAAAATAATTAAAATGAAGATATCAGTTTTCTGACTTCACCATACCATTTATATTATTATGCCCATGTTAACATGGGCTAGTGTCGGCTCATATACCCATTTACCTAACACCCTGTATAGTTATTGGATATAAATGAAGATTACTTAAGTTATTATTTAATTTTTGTATACCTCAAGGTAGTATTTTCGAACCTGTATTAAATTGTCTGATAAATTATTTGTGAATATGGGATAATAGTTCGATTAAGCAACAATCGTCTACTTATAATACATTCTTTTATTTTATAGACATGTTGGTACCAGAATTTCTACAAACTCCACTGACCATGTACGAAATAGCTGAACAGTATTGGGACCTCAAAGCGTACCCCACGCAATACGTCTTCTCTCTTCTGGCGTTGATCTCTGAAGATAAGTTGGAAAGAGAAAAATGCTTAGAACTTAGCTCCCCTGAAGGTCAGGAGGATTGGTTGAATTATTGCAGAAGACCGAAGCGGACGATACTCGAGGTAAGTTAGCAATTTTTGTAATGTAGAGGATGATACGATGCGTAAAGTACGATAGAGCGTTTCCCTACGTAATCGAAATAGAAATGATGAGATCGTAGGAGAAATGAAGTAATCAACATAGCTCGCAGAATTGCTAAACCCAAGTGCAGTAGGTGGCGTATCACCTCGTAGATCTGATGGCTATTGGAACAGATAAGTTATGAAGTGGCGATCACGTACCAGAATACGTAGACTAGGCAGGCTTCCCACTCGGCGGACCGATGATCTGGTGATGGTTGCGGAAAGCGCCTGGATGTAGGCAGCGCAAAACCGATCGTTTTGGAAATCCTGGAGGAGACTTTCCAGCAGTGGACGTTTTTTGTTGAAAAGATTAGGCAAAGGCTATGTAATAAGAAGAAGAAGAATGTATGGAATTTTTATTTGTAATTTTACAGGTACTCCACGACTTCCACAAATCGGCATCCAAATTGACAATCGAATATCTATTCGAGCTCTTCTCCACAATAAAGCCCCGTTCGTTCTCAATCGCCAGCAGTTGCTTGCCCAGTGCAAGCCAAAAGCTAGACTTGTTGATGGCAGTAGTGAATTATCATACTAAACTGAAGAAAGCGCGATTGGGTTTATGTTCCAACTGGTTAGCAAGCCTAAATGTTGGGGATAGAGTGTACGGCTGGATCAAAGATGGGAGCCTGAAGTTTCCTGAACCGGTAAGTTGCCTAAAATACTGTTTAGGTACGGATTTTCAATTAAGTATTAAGTTTTGGAATCGGTGAAGGCGTTTCGTACAATATTTCTTTGCTCATACAGAATAAACTTTGTGTAAAATACTGCATAAAACGATGAAATTATTATTTCTTTATTCATTTTTCTTTCTTATTTTTAATTTTTATTATTATTATTATTATTTATTATTATGCTTTCTGATTACATAGGAATACTACAAGGTAGTATTGTTGAACCTGTGCTTATTCAATTTGAGAGAAATGATTTTATTCTGATTGCTGAAAGTTAAAGCAAGATTATAATTTCAAACAACTATTATAATTTCAGACAACCCCACACATTTTAATAGGTCCAGGAACAGGACTGGCTCCATTCAGAAGTCTAATTCAAGAGTACGAATTCAACGGAACCCTGGACAAAGAAAACCTTCACCTCTTCTTTGGATGTCGGTATAAAGAGAAAGACTTCCACTGCAGAGAAGAATGGGAGAGACTTGTGGACGAAGGGAAGCTGACGTTGTATGGCGCATTTTCGAGAGACCAAGATAATAAAATGTAAGTTAACTTATTTCTTAGTCGAACCGACGAAAAGACAATACTTTTTATAGGGCGCCTTAAAGGCGGTAATGGCGCTGCTAATGACTTACTTTTGACTTATGGTCCTATGTCCCCTAGATGGGGCAGAGGGCGTCCACAACAGTCCTCCATCTCGTTCGGTCTTGAGCTTCTCGCTTGATCTCGCTCCAGGTCTTGCCGATCTTCTTCGCCTCGTCCGCTAATGCGCTTCTAAAAATTGTATGAGACTGTATGAAACTAGTGTCGCAGCAAGCGCGCTACTGCCGCGCTTTCTGACGCCTCTTTGAAAGCGCCCATTTAGAGAAATATTTAGAGGACTTTTTCGCGTACAAAATTAATTTGGCAATTAGAGATAATGACTACTTTAACTGCACGCGTTTAATTGATGTGAATTTAGTCGACATAAATGGGAGCACCGACTCCTCTCATAGAAAGTCGCAGGCTCAACTACTATTAGATTAAATATCTCAGAATAATTTGATATCCCCCCGTTTTCAGATACGTGCAACACAAAATAGCAGAACATGGCGATAAACTCTGGCCCCTCATCAGTAAAAGAAACGCACACGTCTACATATCTGGCAACGCTAAGAACATGCCGGACAATGTTAAAGACGCTTTTGTGGATATATTCAAACAAAACGGGAATTTACCTGAAGATAAGGCCAAGGAAATGCTTGGAGATATTGAGAAGAATGGACGGTTGCAAGTGGAAGCTTGGTGATTAAAAAAAAGCCTTCTAGCAGGATTGTTACCAAAATCATTCATTTCAATATTATTGACAGTATTTATTATTACTGTAATGCAATATTAAAACCCGATCGAGTTAACTGCGTACCTCCCTGTTATGTTTTTTTTTATCCACAACGAGGAAGCTCTTGGCCTGTATCTCACCTGATGGTAAGTGATGATCAGGCCGAAGGTGGAAGCGAGCTTCACTCGGAATCCTCAACCACGGAGGAACTGGCTATCTTACCTCTAACTGCCGGAACACAACAATGCTGTTAACAAAAATACAATACAAAATACAAAATATTTTATTCATACAAACAAGTCACATCAAGGTTTTGGATCTAATCCTTTTAAGTTTTATCAACTTGTGTTAGGATCAGACCGCTCTGTCTAAATACAATAATGAAAACAGACTCGTTGAAATGACGTTAAATGTTACTTTTAAAGAATGTTACTTGAGTTAGTGTTGACAGACTTAGGTAAGATGGTGGTAGCTAGCCAGGTGGACTTAGAACAAGCCCTACCACCAAACGAACAGAAAGATCTGCCCCCACATGGGAATCGAAACCGCGACTTCTGCGTCTGAAGCAGGTGGTCTTACCACTAGACCACAGAAGCGGTTATGTGACTCCCTTGCACACCTCTCCGCGTTCGCCCCGAATGTACCAGAGCGTCGATGTGACGTCACGGCTGCCAGGTTGACTCGGGTTGTAATTATGGTTTTTAATTTAATTAACTACCTCATCCTTCAAATTGAGAACAGTTTACTTATACTTGTAACACTTATATTATCATTTTTGTCAGTTCCAGAAACCGTACCTTCTGTATTTTATTGCTATTAAGTTTTATAATTACGTTTGTATATTATGATTATGCATTATATTCCAAGAATTATTATAACAGTGTTTTTGTGATTCTTTTCTAATCTTACTTTTTTTTCACATTTTAAAAAGTTCAGGGATGAATTGAAAAAGTAGCAAGCAGTTTTTCAACATTACAAATCTAACGGTCAGGACGGGCTACAGTGAGATTCGAACCCACAACCAAGCGAGAATGTCTAACAAGAAGGTCAGCCTATGCTACTTCAAATTATAACTTAAACCTCTTTAATGAAAAATTATGAAAACCAAATCGATTAAAAATTCAGAATGTCAAATTGAATACTTCAAAGTGGCATATTCACAAAAGCGAATATTTCTGTTTCTGAATTGTAAAAATTTTACTTGATAAAAACGATGCTTGGGAAAAAATGCGCGAATGTTTTTCAAAATGTATTGAAGCCCGCCATTTTGCCGAAGCGCAACTTCGCGCAAGTGGGATTGGTGGTCTCCACGCCTCCCAGAGTACCGTGCTCTCTTGGGGTAAGTGTGGTTGACATCACCTATGTTCTTCTGATTGAATTCGTTGCGAGTTTATAGTCTTTTTCACGTAAGATGATCCGTATGACACTTTAAGGTTATCCATATTACGCATACTACATATGCAGAATATTTTTGAAAAAATATTTGTATTTTATTAGCAATATAATAAAAATAAATAAACTACTTGTCTTGAAATATATAGTAAAATCTGAGTCTATTGATTATTTATACTTTAATGAAATACGATGTAAAAATATTTTTTACTATTGATTATTTATACTTTAATGAAATACGATGTAAAAATATTTTTTACTAGCTGACCCGGCGAACTTCGTACCGCCTTAGCGTAGAGATTTTCTTAATATTTTTTTCCGTAAGAACCATCCTTGGACTTCCACAAACATTAAAAAAAAAGAATTATCGAAATCGGTTCAGCCGTTCACACGTGATGCCGTGACAACGCGAAACGGGTTTCATTTTTATATATATAGATTAAATGTACGCAATGTGTGAAACGGAATAGATTTAGTGCTGGGGTATTTCTTGTATGATAAAATCGATTATTTCGGCGGTTCATTAATCGATTGCAGTGAATACTTAGTTATTAAAAACATCACAAAAATCAACTATATTTTTCGATTATTGACTTTAATAAACGCATTGAAAATAAATTAATCGTTTTTAATTTAAAGAAACAGAACCAGTACTTTTTAGGAATCGTTTTTTTGAACACAAACCATGAAATTTGAATATTATCAATAAAAAATTGTTACAATAATATTTGTAATTAAAAAAAACATGTTTTTTGTTAAATAACACCTATACAAAATATTTCTCTAAAAGTAGGTTTTACTAACTCTTCGAAAAAAATCGATAGATAAATCGCTATGGTTTAGTTATGTGACATCTCTAAATCTTTCAAACTCGAAACGTCATACGGATCATCTTAGGTGAAAAAGACTATAGTTAGCTATCCTAGGGACTACTAAACCTTTAATGGTTGAGCTTTATTGGAGGCTAAGCTGTAGATCCTGGCTCTACAGGAGTTGCAGTAGTGGTGGGATTAGTCCCGTAACTGTGAAATGTAGATTTTTGTTAAGAATATGAATTCTTTTATTTCCAGGAAAAATGTCTTCACGCTGGTTTTATGCTGTTTGTATGGCTATCTCCTATGGCCTATTTTACTACCCAGCTGAAAGTGTGGCGTAGGGAATATATTGGAAAATAAATGTTTAATTCATGAAATGTGATTTAATTTGCTATGGGTAGTGGGTAGGTACCTATAATTACAAGAAAAGACACTGTTGGGGCGAAGAATCGCCTAAGGATTTTTAACTTAAACACGACAGCGCAGGATTTCGCCGCGCTCGGTCGCATTTTATTGCTAATTACTATTTTTAAATCACTACACAATAGAGATCATTTATTACTGAAGAGGTTTTGTAATAAATTTAATTGGACCATTTTTAACAAATGTTCAATTGTGAATTTGCAATTGAATAGTCTGAATAAATTGAACCATTCCGTTGCGTACTTCCCTAACTGTCACGTTTGTGTCAGCGTCACTCACTGTCACTGTCATTAGTGTCATTATAAGTAATCTGTGGTGTCATTCATTTGGATAGTTTTGGCTTCGAAGCGTGTGTTTATAGTTTTATTTAGTGCAAAAAACAATATTAACATGAAAGAACCAAAGCAAACACCGATAGAGGACTTAGCGGAGTTACGGAGCTACTTCGCATCACACAATGGCATCCGTGAATACATTGCTCACAGTTCTAAAGTGCATTCCGTAGGTTGGTCGTGTGATGGCCGGCGTCTCGCTTCAGGATCTTACGACAAAAATGTGGCGATATTTACCTTAGAAAGGAGTAGGCTGGTGAGTTAACTGTGTTCTTTCCAAGTGTCAAATACTTGGCTTTCTTTAGTTATGTTTGTTGCTGCCAAACGCTAAACAAAATTTCGTTTATCAACAAGGTTAATGTCGAAGTTTATCTTGATATCATGCTTGCAGATGTTAATTTCATACTTGCAGATGCTTCACACATTAATTTTAGTTTATTCTTGTTTGTAAACACTGTTTGATTGCATAGTAATTGATATCTTAGCACACAACCTAATTTTTGGTTCATAACCAGGTTTGTATTTGGTAGTTTCCCCTTTATATTATTCGTATTGTCTGAATATGCCTAAGGTTAGTTTTAAATTGTTACTTACAATATAGATAGTAAACAATGAGTTAAAAACCCTTTTACTATGTTAGACAATAAATATGGCTTAATTTCCCACAGTCACAAGATTACCTATTCCGAGGACACACAGGCTCGGTGGACCAACTGTGCTGGCACGCCTCACATGCTGACCTTCTCAGCACGGCTAGCGGTGACAAGTCAGTTAGGATATGGGATACAAGGTGAGTTAAAGCAATAGGTAGTTAATAAATTAAAAAATACTTAATTTTCACAATTTTATTAATATTAATAAAGCATTTTGCAGTGGTGTCTGTAGAATTATTTCAACAAATCACTTTAGCCAAAGTGACATAATAATTTAAACTCCAACCCATTAGCTATGTTATTAGCAATAAGTCAACCTTTTTTCATTTTTGTTTTCAAGTTTATTCTAATAAATTAATCCTTCAAGCCCTTAGAATCTAGTTAACAGTCATGTGTGATTGCTTGAGATTTGATGGGTTAATAAATAGGTAATTTAATTGCAGATCGCACAAATGTGCAGCAATTATAGCTACAAAAGGAGAGAACATAAACATAGCGTGGTCACCCAATGGCAGCACCATAGCTGTAGGCAATAAGGAGGATCTAGTCTCATTTATAGACACAAGGACTTACAAAGTGGTAAGTTTGACACACAATGTACAATTTAGTTTTATTTTGGATTAGACAGTATAAGGGAAGTCAAGTTGCTAACATAAGACTGATTTTTATATGAATGAACCATACTAAAGAAAGACCTAAAGAAACAGTTTACTATTTGGTGAATTTTCAATCCAATTACATAAAGCTTTCCATTATGTGTGTACTTTATCTTTTTTCTAGTTATTTACTCTACCTCATATTCTGTGGAAGGTGAATAGCTAAAATAGGTACATAATGTTTGTTATTAAAATTGTAAATATTTTTTCAGGTAGTCGAAGAACAATTCAATTTTGAGGTGAATGAGATCTCATGGAACCTGTCTTCGGACCTTTTCTACCTCACAAATGGACTGGGCTGTGTGCATATAATGACGTAAGTAGAAATAACAAGCTGCATATTTAGAACATTTCTTGAGCTTGGCACTGAGCAGGCTGGCACTACTCTAAGAAATTATTAATCATGGTATACATTTGCCCTAATAAATAAACAATGTAATTATTTTCTACTTAGTGCAGGTTTTTTAGTCGATTTTAATTATATTTTGTTATTGTTTATGGCCAGGTCTGGGATGTTTAAAAAAAAATTACAAAATTTTACTAAGACAGAATCTTGAGTGACCCTGGCTGAAAAATTTAAAACTTACTAGATTTAAAAAAAATGGATCTGTCAACAGCACAGTGGGTCTAGACAAAGTGCAAATTATAATCGCAAACCAGTCGAAAAGCCCCTTTTTTGTATGGAGTTTTGACGGACTGGTCCAGCCCCCCTAGACAAAACGCACTTTTAGATCGAATCGCAAATCGAATCCGTCAAAACTCCATACAAAAAAGGTGCTTTTCGACCACTTTTCGACTGGTTTGCGATTATAATTTGCACTTTGTCTAGACCCACAGGGGTGATTTACTATTGTACTCCGAATGACTGTCGTGAGTACACTGATCAAAATTTATGTTATTTAAGTTATGCGCAACTTTAGGGCCCTGTAACTTCTTTATTTGTAGATATATTTTCATGATTCTTTCACAATTATTATTAGTTTTACTTATATTTTCAAGTTTTATTTAAAGAAAAAAATTTGAATCTTCTTCATTGTTGTCTATTCCATTTTCAACTTTCAATGTATTATTTCGCAGTTACCCCTCGCTGGAACTCCAGACTGTGCTGAAGGCGCACCCGGGCACGTGTATCTGCGTGGAGCACGACCCCACGGGCCGCTACTTCGCCACGGGCTCCGCCGACGCGCTCGTGTCGCTGTGGGACGTGCACGAGCTGGCCTGCCTGCGGGTCTTCTCCAGGTATGTAACTGTAGACGGAGGAATACGTGGGACTTTTGTTCACAGAGGGGCCTTGTTGCACCAGGACCACGAGAAGAAAAACATTGATGTAGGGGAATGGGGGACCCCTCGAAGCCGGAGAGACTTGTTTGAGAGCAAGAATTTTACTNCTATGCGTTCCGGGTGACACTGTCGCGTTTTAGTAAGAAGGCATGGAGAGTCGTATATAACCTAGTGGCCGTCCTCATTCCCTAGTGGGTATACGAGGTGTGTTCAAAAAGTAAGGTGACTTTGTATTTTTAAGAAAAAATATTTATTTATTTATCAATATTTATGTTGTCCCCTTCAAAGTAATCCCCCTCAGATACAATACACTTATGCAAACGGTTTTTCCAATCCTCAAAGCACTTCTCATAAGCACTTTTCGGTATAGCCTTTAGCTCTTCCAGCGATGCAGTCTTTATCTCCTCAATCGTTGCAAATCTCCGTCCTTTCATAGGTCTCTTTAATTTTGGGAACAAGAAAAATTCACATGGGGCCAAATCCGGTGAATATGGTGGCTGAGGCATGATTGTGGTGTTGTTTTTAGCCAAAAAATCTCTCACAAGCAAAGATGAGTGAGCAGGGGCATTATCGTGATGCAAAAGCCATGAATTGTTTTTCCAAAACGTTAGAAAAAAATTCATGGCACGAGCCAAGCGATATGCCGATATCCTCAGCAACTTCTCTGATAGTGATTCGACGATTTTCCAAAACAATTTTCTTCACTGCTTGATCGTTTTCATCAGTTGTTGACGTGCTTGGGCGTCCAGAGCGAGGCTCGTCATTGGCATCTTCCCGGCCATCTTGGAAGAGGTTGAAACATTTTTTTTTACTCAGAACAGTTTCACCGTATGCCACTGTCAACATTTCAAGTGTTTCGGAGCACTAAATTTAATTTTTTTTACACAAAATTTGATGCAAATCCTTTGATCCATATTTTTCGATAGCAAAAAATCGCCGAGCACGCAAAACACTTATAACCTTTACGCCTCTCACAACCAAACAAAAAATGCTATACACTTGAAACTTGGTACAGATGTTCGGGAAGAGTGTACCAACATAAAAAAACAAAAAAATCGATAATCGAAAGTACGTTGCCCGGGAAATTTGAAAAGTCACCTTACTTTTTGAACACACCTCGTATGCAAAGCATCTCATATTGTTTCTCCAGATATTGTTATATGGCAGTGTTTAGCAAAATCACAGATACACAGGATTTGCAGCGGTGGGAACGAGAGGTGGGAGAAAAACTCACAGATACCTCTAGCGACGAAGAAGTGTCTGCTATACAAGATTTAGGGCAGGGGTTCCTCAAGGAACTGTCCTTGGCCCCGTCCTATATGTTTACTATCTACAGTGCTCACACAAGGGTCACCAACGGCTACACTAGCTGAACTCCAGACAGTGCTGAGGGCGCATACGGGTACATGCTATACAAGCTATAATGACGGGGGTTCCTCAGGGTTCTGTCCCTGGCCCCGTCTTNGTGCTCACACAAGGCGCACCAACGGCTACACTAGCTGAACTCCAGACAGTACTGAAGGCGCACCCGGGCACGTGCATCTGCGTGGAGCACGACCCCACGGGACTACTACAGACCTGTCAAATTAGTCTCGCTGTGTGACGTTAACGAGCTGGCCTGCCTGCGGGTCTTCTCCAGGTATTAATACTTCAGACGTGGGACATTTGTTTACAGACTTGACTTATGGTCCTATGTCCCCTAGATGGGGCAGAGGGCGTCCACAACAGTCCTCCATCGCGTTCGGTCTTGAGCTTCTCGCTTGATCTCGCTCCAGGTCTTGCCGATCTTCTTCGCCTCGTCTGCCACAGTGCGCCGCCAAGTTTGCTTGGGGCGACCACGTTTGCGTTTTCCTTGAGGGTTCCAAACCAGAACCTGCTTGGGGATGTGATCGGGATCCCTTCGGAGAGTGTGGCCAATCCAGTTCCACTTGCGGCGCTTGATCTTCTGGTCGATCGGAATTTACAGAGGACACTACTATTTGTACGAGGCACCAAGACCATAAGGAGAAAAACCTCTTGAAAAACAATTATTGT